CATGTGCACTTCTCTGGCACCCAAATTTATAACAGATTCTACCCGACGACAGCACACCATACAATCGTAGGGGATGAAGACGGATTCCGAGCCGCAATGTGAGCTAGTGAAAGACACAATGGCCGTGCGAAAGGCGCGTAGACGTATAATGCACTAGAAAAGGTACTGTAGTAGATAAGACGCGCATTCCCTTGAAAGCAGCGTGTGATCTGTTGCCATCTTACGGCCGGCGTGAAGCTGCGTAGCGGCACCGCTTTCGGCCAGAGTGACCACTCTTCAACTTTTATATTACTCTATGCTGGAAGTGTTCAGAATCAATTGTGAACGCTTTGAGCGCTGTACAGACTTTACCATGGGAGGATAACTCGTAATGTGTCCAGGCTATCATTGTTTGAAATGAAAAAGTTGTTCACGATTTATAGTACCGCATACCCTACTTCTCTGTGTAAAAAAGGTGGGTAATTAACGATTTAGAATAATAGAAACTCTACTACGGGAGCATAAAGCCGTCCCAGGAGATGGAGCACCCGTGATATTATCAGTGACCTTCTTTTCATACAATACAGCAAATGTATTTTTTCAGAGGTTAAGCGAATAAAGCACCACTCTTGCCCCGACCAGGTAGCTGGAAATTGCCCTGATAGTGTCATCAAAACCTTTTTATTTAACTTGATATCTTAGTTGGTTCGTAATGCATCGAATCCTTAACGTATTTCTTTTAGCCTAAATTACAGTTTGCTGCAAATTTTGTTTCTGCACTAATAGTTTGAGCAGAGAACTGTCGTACTGAAATTGATCCTAGAAAGATCTTTTCCAAAGGGTGACCACACTTATTAGGAGGCCCTGCTTCAACGCAAAATATCTAAGGAACGCTTTTTTTTATGCGAATGATCTCATTTCGTACTCTTTCACTTTTGGCGTAAATCTACATATCTATCTATCTAGCTGCTAACGTGTGGATGCTCTCGTGGTCACTCCCTTAACTTTTCGTGAACCAAAATTAGTAAGGGAAGTTAAGACGGTTGACGAATACGACGCGCTGGCCAATTAAGGCATGAATAATGTCACATTCCCGTCGCATACGTCGTCGAACACTTTCAGCCAGACAGTGGAACATACCCGCGGGCAGGTATGTGTCACTGGTGTGTGGGTATGCGCCACAGCTGAAGGACACCCAGGAATGGTGAGAACACACGAGGGTAATTTGGACACCGGAGCGTTAAAAAAAAAAAAAAAAAACTGACGTCGGCAGCGTTGGCGCGACGAATGCGAATAAATTTCAGGCTGCCAGCACAAATCGCACCCAAGAATTCTGCGTGGCAGTCAAGTATTTTACCACAGAGCCACGCCAGTTCTCGGAACTACTCTTCAAAAGGACACTAATGCTCTGACGTTCATTTAAACTGTACGATTCTTTCCCATCAGGTGCTCCTCTGCACTTCGGTTGGTTGCTAAATGAAAATCGCGTTCCTTATATGCGTATATACGTCCAAGGGCCCACACAATTTAACGTGTTCGATTTTTTAAATATCTTATTTCTGAACTATGCAGTGACGTTTTGTGTTGCTCAGTGGTGAATAGATTGTATATTCTTGTTTTCGGTTCTTCTCCTGAACGTGTATCGTGCCGCATTATATGCGAGCTTGAGTTTCGGAAACGGAGGAATAAAACGAGGCCAGAGAACAAGTTCCACGCTCGCGTACAAAGGTCCTTTTCAAGGAGTAGGCATCTCGTGGACGGCTGGACAGAGATGGATAGAATGACCAGATGTCGTGAAATCACGAGCTTTTATAAAAAATCTAGGCGTATTTATCCACTACTAAGCCCCAAGATCCGAAGCGGTAGATTTGAGGTGATTGCAAACCCAGACCTTCCCTAACCCCGTTCACTTTAAGAAGATATGCCCAGATGTCTATCCAAATGATACTTGCAAATTGTGCGGCTGGATTCACGCATCACACAGGCACATTATCTGGTAATGCGCAGTTTTAGCATAAGAAAATGCACTCTCCCCAGATGAGGTGACGGTGCGGTGTTGACGGCTGCGCTGCGCAGCTCCGGACCTCCAGGATCAGCTGTGGGCCATCCAGCAAGCCCGCGAGGCGGCGAGGGGACAGGAATCAACATATTTGCTTAGTGCAAGACTACGAGTAGTTACGAAGTATCTACAGAAGCGATAAGGACAGAAACAGCGCTGACTTCAACTGAAATTTTATTAGCGAAAACGCTGGAAATATATACTCGTGACAGAAAATCACCGCGCAATCGCGCAACCTATTGCATCACAGCAAGATAATCAACATCTCATTAAAAGGTTACAACGCCACAGCTCAGCACAAGTTCACAATCTATTGTGTCAAAGCCAGAAACTCGATTTCTCTTTTAGTCCCAATCGCCAACTAGCCCAAGCATCTGTCTTATCGAGGAGACAGGGTCTCCGGTCCTCCTCGGGGGTGGCCTCAGATCAGGCCACGAATTTGCCGTATTTATTAATCGAGGTGTTATCACCACCACCGCAAATGTTGAGAGTAGAATTCACTTTCTGTGCTAGCTTTGAGCATGCTGCTTTCGTGCACTGAAACGCATTGCGCGCCACAAGCAAACAGTCATACGCGTATGCGGAGCGAACGCGCAAGCACATGAAACAAAAAAAAAAGGAAAAGAAAAAAGAATTAAAGGCATCATCTGCGCTTTCGCGGCGAAGCTATTCGACAATTTTATCAACTACTTTCAAGATGTCACATGGGCGAACAGTGGAGTATTTTAGCATATAGTCATGGCCATTTTATCCAGTAACCGATACGGCCTATTACCGACTGCGAACGCACGATTTTTGTCGCCATGCAAAGCGCCGTTGGGAATCAGTACTGTCAGGGAAGATATTGACCAAACAGGAGTCATTGCAGGTCCCGGCCTATACATATAAGCTTCTATGAAGGGAATAAAACTAAATGAATAAAGGAGTGACAGCCAGGGTACCACTGGCTGCATCAAATGAAGTAGCAGCTGCGAAGGAAAGATGCGGGCGCGCGCCTCCCGACCGGCCATGTAACAGAATAATTGACTTCGTATGGACAAGTAGCCTGCAGCGAACATGCAGTTTTCGGGAAATTAAACGAAAGCAACCACGAAACGACTATTGTTATGTGGCCGAAATACGCGCTTTATGTACATGTACCCCTATGCCTCACACTCTGAGAAAATAAAAAGAATCTACACTTTAAGAAAAGATTGAGTAAAAAGAGAGTATTTTTATTCCACAACAATTATCATGCATGTCTTGCGTTCCTTTCCTTGCATTATCACCACGCCATCTATGGCCACGCGACCAGCTCTTTCGGGTCATGAGCAGCATGCGCGCTATCAGCGTGACTTATCATTCTTGATAGGAAAGTGGCCACATAAGCGTCGAGTTTTCAAGAAGGGAAGTGCAAGAAATCTATATAGATTACAATAATTGTGGGACAAAAAGACATTTATTTTACAGGATAGTTTTAGAGTATTGTATTAGGGGAGTATTGCTGCCACGTTACAATATACATCATCTGGATTGTTCGTGTCTCCTTGCTTGAACGCTGATTGATTGATTGATTGATATGTGTGGTTTAACGTCCATAGTGGTGGGCTACGGAACTTTCCACCACCCGCGGTTCTATAACGTGCACTCACGGTGACCTTCATCAACGCTTAGTGCCTGAGAAACTGCCGTCCACTCACTCTCATAGGTGTGCAAAAGATAATAATAATAATAATAATAATAATAATAATAATAATAATAATAATAATAATAATAATAATAATAATAATAATAATAATAATAATATGTGAGGCTTAACGTCCCAAAACCACCATATGATTATGAGAGACGTCGTAGTGGAGAGCTTCGGATATTTCAACCACCTGGGGTTCTTTATTGTGCACTCAAATCTGAGCACATGGGCCTACAGCATTTTCGCCTCCATCAAAAATGTAGCCGCCGCTGCCGGGTTTAAATCCCGCGACCTGCAGGTCAGCAGCCGAGTACCTTAGCTGTAGGCATCCGCGGCGGGGCTTGCTCGAACGCTTGGCTATCGCCACTAATCTATCAAGAATTGCAATGTCACGCTGATATCGCACACATTGTTCGTGACTGGTAAGTGTCGAGGCCACTGTGATAAGTGATAACGCAAGGAAAGCAGTATATATGGATGACGTGGCAGAAATACACAGATATAAAGTTGCTGAGAACGAGGTGTCACTGTAGGTTCATAAATCAAGCGAGAAGAAAAAAGAAAAGAAGGAAGAAAGAAATAAAGCTTATGTACTTATCTTTAGGTGCAAGTTAAGGCTATTCTACCTCAGTAATCGTCATTTGCGGAAAATAACATACCAAATGATAAAAAACACGGTTTATTCGACTGAGTTTATGGTTTAGTGTTTGCTCCGGAGCAACAGAGAGAGAAAAAGTACTGGCTTTGCTGACATAAGGCTGAATTTCATTGAATAAATAGTCAAAAACGGTCTATACGACGTAATTTTACAGCTCAATTTTTTTGCCGGAGATGTAGACGACAAAAGCACGAGTACACGTTGTGAGGTCACCGGATCGCCGCATGCGGTGTCACCATTCCCCAATAAACAGTGGTCGCTTATAAATGTAGTTGTAAATATTCAATGCTCTGTGCCAGTGTTGAGTAACTTGCAACATGGGTCTGGATGAGAGCGTTATAAAATGTACTGGCTACTCAGATGGCCACAGCGCCAACTTTTTGTGACAAGTGTAGTTAATTAATGGCCTCCAAGATAGCGGAAGCGCCGCGCGTCTGCAATTTTAAAGGCTTCGACTAATTTTAGAGATACTATATTCTTATTTGTAACAAGTTTATATTTGCAACTCACAATATTGTGTTTAATATTTTAGTTGCGTTTGACAGTTAAACGTTGTGAAAGATGAAAGAAAATGTTAAAAATTATTAAAACATAGTGATAAAAAGCAGCGCTAGCATCGCTGTGGGCAGAAGGACCCGCCGCCGCGGCGGCTAGCCGTCAAGCAGCTGCAGTACGCTGTGGTGGACTTCGTGCTGTCCGTGTGATTGCTGTGATTTTTTTTTTTTTTCGATCTTCTGTGCACATGCTATCCTGAACAGCAACGCATTCCTACGTTCCTCTGGTTCTCCTATTTATAATGTTGGAGAACTTGAGAGACAAGTTGCACAGCGTTCAGCAAGACTTCAGTTTCAGGTTCGTAATGGTTTTCTGTACGTGGCCTGCTTGTAGTCACTGAACAACTATGCTGGAGGCGCAGTGTACGATTGCAGAATTGATAACAATCACTTTATCCGAATTATTTGTGTTCGACTGCCACGCGTGCACGTTAAGCATATTTACTGCAGATTGATCTTTTCCAACTACACTAATACACCAGTAATAAGTTCACATTCTATGGTACCTTGATCACTGAAGCGCTAAGTTGAAACGGAAAGTGGGTGATTTCCTCGTATGTCTTGCAAGGCGGGTGAGCCCCGTTTGATAATGTAATTTCTTTTGACATTCTATTGCAGTCTCCGAAACCTTAGCCTCGGTGATACTTCACTGCCAAAGTAAGCACTAACCAATATTGGCGTTATCTTTTAGTTAAACGCCGCGGACTTGAAGTAACTTGTGTAAACGTGCAAAATGTATTTACGCAGATCACAGCAGGACTGCGAAAAGAGGCTTCTAGGTGCTGGAGCTGATTTATTACATTAGTGAGTATGCGCCTTCCGAAAAATGATACATCTGGCGCCACCTCTCTCTGATTTTCGGTTAAAAAGCTTAATTACTATTTTTGCCTCCTTTCCAGCTACCAGTCAAAGTGGGAAGAGTTGCACAGCCAAAATGAAGGCAACGCCAAGAGAGCAGAAGTATATGCATATACTGTGTTCTGGTATTCTGGCATGCACAAAATTTTTGCAATGCGCTGTGCACTTTTACTCTTGTTTGTATGCAACAGTTTTTGACATAAACTCTACCACGACACAAGCAACAATACGTGGTGTGCCCTGTTGCTGTCACCAGTACCATGTCATATTACAATTTTCACGTTTGAAGGTGGTCTGAGCCACGTACAATCAAAACGAAAAGTTCCCGACATATGTTAGCTTCTCTTATATAAAGACCTTGGAATATGCTGAATAATTGTTGAGTCTTCACTCAACAAGTATTCAGCTGCTTAATGCAGGTCATCTGATCTGCTATATGTGAAGTTACGAAGGCCCGTTCTTTTTTCTGCGGCAGCATAAGTTCTTTAGATATATTTCATTTTAAAGACCACAAAATAATATTTGGAGGCATTGCAGGAAAGTTCAGTATATAATATGTTAAGTTTGTATTAATACAAAACACAATACTAAGATTACTTTTTGCCTGCAGTTTCCCGAGCACAATTGGTTTTATACATGTAGCATTGACAAATGAGAAGTTTTGTCTGAACGATTACACCAGAACGGTGTTCTGCAAGACATGCTAGAATACTGAATGCCTGATTTAGGCACTGCAGTTGCCTTTCCACTTTGCTTGCTCTCTTGCTCTAAAGCATTTTTAAGGAAAAATTTTGTTTCTTCTTGCTGTAAGGCTCTGCAGTTAAAGTAAAATTTCAGTGCTAGACAATTCACACAAGTTTGTGGCTTATGTAATGCATCATCCTTCGTAGTTGCTAAAGAAACTGAATGCGTTTTTATTTTTATGATATGTTTCTAATACATGCTTGTTTTTATTATAATAATGCTTTTGTTGAAGCTTCAGAAAATGTTTGAAACATATTTTGTGAGCGATAAATATTGTTGATCCTTATGCTGCTATTCATTCACATTTTTTTCTCGTTTTCACCACGTGTGAAAATATTAAATTGACGTAGCTAGTTTCTTGTGGAATTACTGTCGGTTAATTGTTTACATTAGCAAGTGATACGGAGACAGAGGCAGCTGCCCAAATATAGAATAAGACGATGAGCCAGTTTAAGTGCTTCATTCATTACTTGTATATTGCACTTTTTGTGTATGTTGCTAAATACTTCGCATATTTGAGGTTTGGATCAGTGATAATGTTAGGTTCTTGTAAATGTAAAAGTGGCTTTTTAAATTGTCTAATTGCCACTTCCTTTCCGTTAATCGTCTTAAACTTAGAACTTAGTTGTATACTGTCGTCTTTTATGAGAGGGAACACAAGAGCACATGGCCTGCACTCTGTGGTGGCTGCCTACAACACGATCAACCGACAGCTAAAGAAAGCATGTTTACTTTTGGCAGCATCACTCATTGCTAGGCCGAAGTGGGAGCGTAATGCAGCAGTACTTGTCAACTGGCCATGACATGTTATTTTGTTTGCTAATAAATGACACATAACGTGGGCGTGTTTTTTTAGCTCTCTGTTTATCATGTTTGTATGCAGCCACCAGCAGAACGTAGGTCATGCACTTGCGTGTGTTCTTTCCTAAATAATGACGGCCTACATAAAAGTGGTGGGAAATTATCCTCAAGGGTGCAATTAGCTGGATGAAGATAATTTTAACATCCTTTTCAGAATTGTTTTCTTTTTGCTCTCTGTCACTGGTCCTAGCAGTGCTGCATGCATGTTATAGCTGAGTTATAAAAAAAATAGAAATCAGTTGAGTAAATAGAAGTGTTATATTATACCAGGTTCACTTCTACCAAATTATTGGTTCACTTCTACCAAATAACTTGCATTGCAGTACAACAAAAAGGAGACTTGGAGGAAAAGGTCTAGTTTTAGAAAAAAATGTACATTTTCATGTTCTAAATCAAAGGTTGGCAACCTGTTATCAGGGGGGGGGGAGGGAATTGCAGAGTAAAAACCTGGCAAAATTACAATAGTTTATGAAAATTGCAATAATTTATAAAGCGAATAAGAAATCTCATTTATTTTCAGTTAATTCATCACAAAGCTGCAATCAAACATGGATTGCAAGCCAAAATGCCATTTTAGGCCCATTTCAGGTAGGAAATGACAAGGGAAACGGGAAGTGTTGACGGCATGCCGGGAGCCCCATAATAAGGCCAGGGAAGTCGCAGGTTGCTGACCCCTGTTCTAGATGAGGATGGAAGTGCGTCTTATGTACATACCAGCAATAATAAAAAAATAAATTGTAAATTGGACATGCATTGCCCAGCACACTGGCTGTACACTCTCCTAAATAAATGTGATGTGTAGTATTCATTATTGACACACTCAGAATCAAATAAGCTCATCCAGTGCTGTCAGATTAGAAAGGCCAGCTTATTAATTGTGGATGAGAATATGTTTAGTATTGGTTAAGGTCAACCTGTGCCATCATACAGTAAAACTAGCTTTAATGCTCATACCACAATTTAACCAACTATTTGTGAGCATTGAACGGTTTTGTGTTGTAGTGTGTAGCTGTGTTCAGCAAATTTGTTTCTTTTGCTTGCTGGAACACATCAACTGCATTTACAACAATTAACAGGCTGACCTTAGCAGCACCACCACCTAATTCGAGCATTTTGTTGTATTTATCCATACAGACATTTGTAGTAAGATTTTAATTGCTCTGGGAACACTTGAGTCCTTCCTGCTAGCAGATGGCATCAACAGCTTGCAGTGCAAGGACATGAGACGGCAACTGAGAAGGCCGTGCTATGGTCATCGCTTTATTGCTACGCGTGTGAAGCAAGAGACTGAAGCGGTTGTGGCTGTTGCGTGTAACTAGGTCAAGAGCTAGGCTGCTATTACCACATCATGGCTCACGTATCACGTGCCACGCAGATCTCTTCTTTTGCACAGCTAGCCAAGAAAGTGTGGTGCTACAAGCTCACTGAGGAGGGATGCATGGACATTTTCAGGCATAGGTGAAGTGCATGTCATTTTTTCGGTACTGTGCGTGCACTGGTAGAAATTAAATCAGTTGAGACGTGAAGCGCTTATGCATGACAGCTACAATCTGTCATGCTTTAGCCACAGGCTTTCAACGCACTTTGGAATACCTAGGGGAATGTGCAAAGAGTCCTTAGAATCCTAAATCTGAAATGTCGGTGCACATTTATTTGGAAAGCAGCGTAGCTGGTGTGTATGGCCGCCGAATCACGTAGTAAGATCCCGTTGCCAAATGGTGTGCTTTCACATTTCCTTAATATTTTTCTCGCACAGGAGGTAGATGTCCTGATTGCAGGGCTACAGTCCTACTGCCATCAGCAGTTGGTCAGCATGCAGCAGCTGAACTTACAGTTGGCACAGCTGCCTAAGCTACAGCAGGGTGTCCAGGACCTTATGAACACCATAGGTACTGTTGCAAGTGACAACACTCAACCTTCCACATTATTTGCTAAATCAACTCTTGCTGACTAGCATACACCGAGGTTTCACGAGTTCTGTTTGTGAGAGTGAAATAGATGTGACTTGAAGTTGTTGTGCAAACTGTGCCACTGTGGTGAAAAGGAGCAGTTAAGGTGGTGAAACTAATGTGGCATCAAAAGATAATGCATTGAAAAAATTTACCAAGCATGGACATGTCCTAGATATGGTCATGTATTGCAAACTCTGAATATGCATTTCATAAATTTGTGAAGACCGACAGACATGAAAGTAGCCTTGTCTAAGTCGTGGATATCCTGCATAGCTAAGTGTAGAAGATGAATGCCACCACAGTGCTCTAGCACCTTCAGAAATAGCACATAAAACATCGTTTTTGTCAACCTGTCGAGCAAGCCAAATAGTGTTCAGGCTGTGAACTGAAATGGTCAGTATAGACGAGTGAAGCATGGGCTTAGCTTGCAATGATGTTTCTATTCAATGCGTGTTGCATATATCAATCCATTTCATCGAAACCATGCTTGATATATGGTCTGAGAAAGTAACAAGTACTAGTATAATCAATGTGTAACTGATCTTTAAAATGGCATGCTGTTATGAGGCTTATTTCGAAGCCGTCTGAGTAAGTGCCATGAAAAGTAGTGTGTGGAGGCATGAAAATTATGCCTAGATCAAACTCTTCACATAAGGGATGTTCACTATGTAACATTCATTAATATATTTCCGTGAAAGCCAATAGCCTTAATCTTTGGAAATAAACTGATGATAACATATACATTGTTCTATTGACATTTTTAAAACTGCTTTTTGCATTGCCCTTCATGCAGGAGAGTTGGAAGGCATGTTTGAGGAGGTTGAACTTCGCCTGGTAAGCCTTGAGGATGTCATTGAGACACAAGCTCTGCAAGAGAAGCAGCTTGACGAAAGGTTCAAGCTTGCACTGTATGGAGAAAGAAAGAAAGGACATTTTGAAAGCCTTAAAGGTATGACTGAGCAAATGTTCAATGCCAACTGACTGAGCAAACGTTGTTGTGAACAAAATGTTTGACTTCAGGAAAGTAGTGTTTACCCATGTTCTTTGTTTTTCAACAATAGTGAAACAGTTGTATCAGTGAATGTGGTGGTTTACACATTCATTGATAGAACAATGGGCTTTGGTGCAAAGACCTACAACACTGCTTGCTTGCATAATTGTAAATAAGTGTCGCACAAGCATTACAACATGGACACATGTAAAACTAGGAGTTTTCCTTTCAAAATTAGTATCCACAAAAATGCCGATAAGAAGCCACAAAAATGCTGTATTTACTTGTAGCTTGTGAATAGTGGTCATCATCCAGAGGTACAGTTGTCTGTGCACTAGGGCTTAAGTCTGCACTGTGCTGTGTGTGCCTCAGGCAGGTGTTGCATATGCCGGCACAGTTCGTCAACCAGGCGTCGAGGCAGGAGAAATATTGTGAGGCTTCTTACTAATAAAAGCACACGATTTATTTACTTATTTACACGGGTCAAGCACACTAGGCATCGAAACGTGTCTTCACACAAGACACGACTGGCTGAAACGAAGGCCAGAGAGAGAGCCCTCAGTGCACACGCGAGGCTCTTTTTATATCCACTGGTCCAAGCACGTGCTTTTTGTCAAACGCACATGCCAGCGACGCCTATGCGCCTTTCGTGCAGTGCACACAGACACCCCTCGCGTTCCTGCAGGACGGGAACTGCGTTTGGACGGTATGCCGATGAGTGTCTCTTGTGGGCCAGATCCTTGCATTGCCATTCACAACAGCCTGTCCGCTGCACGAAGAGGTCACGGAAGGGCTGCAGTGTCCCTGCTGCCTGAAGTGGCTGTTGTATACAGTAAAAACTCGTTAATTCGACACCCGTTAATTCGGAAATTCGGATGATTCGGACGGCTCTATTGGTCCCGGCCAAAGTGCATGTTAATCTATGAGACCAAACATTCGTTATTTCGTCGGGATTCGGCTCCGAACCGCTTAATTCGGACAAATGCTGACGGCTGCTGCTACACAAAAGTGTGATAAAGCAGCGCTGGCACCACTGGAGTGAAACCGAAACCTGAATGGCTTCGCCATCATCATCAACTAGTGGGGGCGATCTCAGCGTCACCGAACGTCGGCGTCTTTTTTCTTCTCCACTCAGCGTCTCCAACGCCATTTTCCCTTGTGTTGTCGTGTCGGAACCATCTCTTCTTGTGGAGTTCTCTTTTTCTTCTATTGTGACCGTATTTGCATGCCACCACCATCGTGTGCTACAGTGATGGCAACGCCGAAAAAGCGGCAGAACTACGACGCGAAGAACTTGGCGACTAAAGTGGAAATTTTGGAAGCACTGAAGAACGGCGAATCGCGACAGCAGGTTATGACCAAGTACAACGTGAAGCGGAGCACATTGGGAACGTACGTGAAAAATTAACAACAGATTCGACAAGCCTTCGAAAGCGAGAAGTTTCATGTCTCTAGAAAGCGGTTGCGAACCGCAGCTCATCCCCAGCTTGAAGAAGCTTTGCTCCGGTGGATTACTGACTATCGCAACGCGCATCTGCCTTTGAGCAGACCTCTCATCATGGCGCAAGGTGAGAAGTACGCTGCCATGATGAACATTGAATTGTTCAAAGCGTCAGAAGGGTGGTTTGCGAGGTTTCGAGAGAGACACGAACTTGTCTTCAGGAGTGTGTGCGGCGAAAAGGCCAGTGTTGACGAAAGCGGGACTACCGAGTAGAGAAATGTGAAGCTGCTGGAGCACATCGCCGCATATGAACCACGTGACGTGTTTAATGCAGATGAAACTGCTCTATTTTTCAGAGCTCTGCCCGACAAGACAGTGACTTTCAAAGGGGACACGTGCATTGGTGGCAAGAAGTGCAAGCAAAGGATAACTGTGCTTCTTGCCGCCAATATGACTGGAACGGAGCGCTTGCCACTACTTGTCGTCGGGAAGGCGCATAAGCCACGTTGTTTTAAGAATGTCAAAAGCCTTCCTGTCGAGTACACAGCGAACAGGAAGGCATGAATGACATCGGACATTTTTCGCGGCTGGCTGCAGCAGTTGGACCAGCACTTCACGTCGAAGGACCGCAAGATAATTATGGTTGTTGACAACTTCAGTGCCCATAACTGTATAGTCGAACTGAAGAGCATCAAAGTAGTTTTTTTGCCGCCCAACACTACGTCTGCTCTTCAGCCGATGGACCAGGGTATCATTCACTACGTGGAGTCGAAGTACCGCAAGCACCTGCTAGAGCGAATGATCCTATGCTCAGAAGCTGGAAAGTTGTATCAAGTGGACTTACTCGGCGCAGTGCACATCATCGCCCACGTGTGGAAAAACACTCCGCCGCAAGTCATCGCCAACTGTTTTCAGCACAGTGGTTTTGTGAGGCCCGAGCATGCAGTAGTAGCTGACGATGGCATCAAGGAGGTGTCAGCAGAGTCCACCGACGATGACTGCCCGACTTTCGATGCTGTCCTTCCCACAGATGTGACCTTTCAGGACTACATCGCGATTGACCATGGTGTCGCCACGAGTGGTATCTTGACCGATCAAGAGATTATTAATGATGAGACGGGCGCCCATGAAGACCACGATTCCAATGAAGAATCATGCGAGGAGATACAGCCGCGACCTCATTGCACCTCACGGGAAGTCTCGGAGGCACTGTTAATATTAGAGGACGCTTGCCTGAACACTCCCGACAGCTTGCGTGCTGCTGGCCATTTGGAACAGTTAAGAAAAATTGTGATGTCAGCCGGAATCTGTGCGAAAACGCAGACGACAATTACAAAATACTTCAAGAAATAAAGGTATGCTTCTGCAGCTTGATTTTAAATGTTGTTTTTCCCGTTCACTCGTTAATTTGGCATTCGGTTAATTCAGACAGTTTTCCGGTCCCGTGAAATCCGAATTAACGAGCTTTTACTGTATAATATTGGGCGTCACACTCGCTGTCCACCACAACCCAAAGATGCGCACCACACAGCAGGTCTCACAATAGGCACACCCTAGCGTCGCAACCACTCATAGTGCACAATAGATGCTTCGTCACAGCAGGCAACGACCACTGGTGCAGAGGCACGGGCACCACTGCTTGGTTGTTCCCACGTCGGCCATGACATTAAGGGACACACTTAACCCAATGCCAATGCTGAGAACTCTCATCTTTCCCGAGAATCACCAGGTGTCAGCTTACTTCAAGGCTTCTTGCTCAACTTTTTGCACCAACGGAAGCCTACACTGTGGTGGTGACCAATTAACTTGATGCTTAAGTTATTGCGTCCCAAATAATACGAGAGAAACTTTTCACATGCTCAACAGACCCTTGATAGAATGCCTTGAATCAACTTCTTTGCGACGCATATCTCAAAATCAGCGCCAAACCACCCGGACGTCCCAAGAATTTTTCCTGTACGTAGGAGCGAAGAGGGTGTTCAAATCAAAGAATTTTTTTCCAGACGCACGAAGATAGAAGCGTCTGAACAACCCTGACCTGCATGCACACGCTTTCCTTTGGCTCAAGATATAAAAGACTAATTATCCTTGAGGAAGTGCCCTCTGTAACTGCAGAAGCCACATAAGATGCCTCAACCTTCTCACCGCTGAAGAAGCATTGCACTGGCAATCTGTTACTTTCTTTGTCCTTTCCTCCAGCTTTAGCATTGTATGCTACCCAACCGACAGTTCCAGTTTGGCTATCCTGCCCATCCACGTCTTTTATCTGCTGACGATAGCACCTCCGGCTGTATGATTTCTGGTTTGATGAGTGCATCTGCACTCTTCGTGCTCAAAGATACCGCATCTGCCCTAAGGAGAGAAAAACCTTTGTTTATAAGCGAGTCATCCTGGCATTCTGGCATGCTTGGCGCACCTGTGAACACCGACTGGCGACGAACGCTGCACTCACCAGCTTGATAAGCCATGCGTTACACTTTTATTGTACCTAGTCTATCCTGAATCTCTGCATTCAGTGTACTCTGACCACCAGCACATTTCGCCAGGACAATCCGAAGTTCAAGCCTCAGTCGTTCCATTTTCCTCTTCCCCATTCCATTTCCTTGTTCCAATCGTTTGATTTTCCTTTCCAAGCTTCCTTTACGCCTGGTAGTCTGTCTAAAACACAAGCCACTCTCAATTTTCGGCTTCCTTATGCCTGGCCTGTACGAGCTCCCAAGAATCACAAAACCTCTCCTCATCTGCGCCAGAATCCTTAATCGCTTCTATCAAATGCAGCTTCATTTGTATCATTGCCACGTCAATGCCCAGCTCCTCCCACAAAAGAACTAAATCTGGTTTTCTTAGTCTGTTCAAATCCATGGTCACCCCATGCAGACTTTCGTTCCTCAAGCTGCTGTGAAGGTACCTCTAGTAAACACTAGCCTTCACGAAGCAGCGACCAATCTACCCCTTTGGATAAACATCACCATCTATCCAAAACACCTAGTAGAATCTCTACAGAAAGTTGGCACTCACCAGCATCGGTACTAGGAAAGAACACCACCAAATCCAACTTAATCCCACCGCTGCCACCAGTTGGTGCGACCGAAGAGCGGGGCACAGGTGTGAACGAGGTGCCGGAGAGCAGCTCTTGGGAGGCTTTTTGCTCCCACAAAAACACATGATTTATTTACTTATTAACATAAGTCCCAACACACTAGGCATTGAAATGTGCCTTTGCAGGAGACGCGACTAGCCGAAACGAAGGCCAGAGAGAGAGCTCCTAGCGAACTCGCGACGCGCTTTTTACATCCTCGGTTCGTGCACGCACTTCTCCTAAACATGGACTGCGTGTCCCAGCAACGCCGATGCACATTTTCTGCAGTGCACATGGACAACTCCTGGGTTTCTGCTGGACGTGTACCACGTTTGGCAGGTACACTGATGAGCGTTCATTGTAAACTGGGTCTTTGCACTGCCGGTCATAACAGCCTGTCCCCCGCCCAAAGAGGTCACTTGAGGGCTGCAGTGTCAC